AAAAGCAAGGTGAGTAATTGCTTCAAATTCCATACAACAAGGACTGGAAAGTCGCATGCTGTGTGTGCTCCAAGGGCCCAGTGTAGCAAAGGGTGGACTGTCTCTGCTCCTCTCTCTCCTCTGAGCACTCCAGCCCCATTCCATCCTTTACAACCAGATATTTGGACCCAAGCATCACCATCACTCCTGTCCTTTCTCTTGGGCTCCAACCCATCCTTTGTTCTTGCTGGTCAGATTTTCACTGGGTGGGGTGGAGGTGGGAAGCTTCTAGTTTAGTGAGTTTAACTGCTGTGTAAACAAAACTCAAATCAGCGCCCCCTTCCTAACTTTTCCAAATCCAGAGCCATTTTTTAAAAACAATTTTTTCAATAGACATTATGTTCTCATGTTTAAAAACAAAACAAAACAAAAAAATTTATATTTGAAAAATTTCTCCCTTCTTTCCTTTCCTCATGTAGCCAATTCAGACCACTTGCAAGAAACTTCACGTTTGTTCACACACATGCAAATAGAAATATAAATTTCCTTTTTACTTCATAAAAGAGTACAATTTTCAGTTTTCTGAACCATGTGTTTTGGTCACTTATTAGTATGTAGTGAGCATGCATGCTAAGTCACTTGCCGTGTCCAACTCTTTGCAATCCTATTGACTGTAGCCTGTCAGGCTCTTTGTCCATGGGATTCTCCAGGCAAGAATACTGGAATGGGTTGCCATGCCCTCCTGCAGGGGATCTTCCTGAACCAGGGATCGAACCTGCATCTGTATGTAACAAATATCTTTAAACTGAGTTGCTTAAGACAATTTGTTGCTAACTCTGAAAGTTTGGTGGGTTGATTGGGCTCAACTGTGTGGTTCTTGCTTTGGCTTCTCACTGTGGTTATGGTCAGATATGCACAGGTACAAGGGTCATGGGAAGGCTTGACTGAGTTGGAGGTTCCAAACGGCTTCGAAATGGTTGGCAGTTATGCTGATTGTTGGATGGGAGCTCAGTGGCCAGAGCACCCGTGTATAGACTGGGCTTCTCACAAGAAGCGGGTCTCTGAGTGGGAGCATCCCAAGAGAGCAGGAAGTGAAAGTTACCAGGTCAACGAAGGGCAACTCACAGAACTGGCACTGTTAGGTTTGCTAGGTTCTGTTGGCCAAAGTGGATTCAGGGCTATCCCAGGTACAAGGAGATGGAGACAGAAATCACGATCTCTTCATGGGAGAGTAGCAAGATTGTATTGTAGATCTTGAGGTTAGGAGATACTGTGTTAGTCATCTTGGTAAAATACAATCTATATCACCATCTGAAGTACCTTTCTACTTCTCCTAACACATGTCCAAGGCCTGAGGATCTTTCTTTTATAATGTCTAACATCTGACCTCTCCCTGTTTCCACCGACCCCATTCATTCAAACCCGCATCCTTTAGTAGTTAGGTAAACGCCAGAGTTACCTTCCTGGTATCCAAGTTTCCTTCACTACAAATAGCCAATGAAACCTTCTTAATATTGGTGTTTACATAAATTTTAGCTTTAATGATGTCATTCTCCTAAGTAAAAATCAGATCTGATATCCCCAGTGGTTTTGTTTGACCTGTGCAAAGTTAGCATATATAGGTTTTGCTTTTCTTTAACTTTCTACATTACAAAATCAGGAGATCCAGATGAAGCTCCTTTTGAAAAACTAGGTCTGCATATGTAGAAACATTGCATTCTTTGACTAATATGTTCTAGATACTGAACAAAAGGGGAAAGACTTTCAGGCTTTTATGGGATTTAATGGACAATAGGGAAAATGGATAAATAACATAGACCAATGGATGGCAACATTGGAGGGCTAGAAAACAAACAGGGCAGAGGGCAGATGGGAAGGGCTGCAAATTCAAATCACATGGTCATGAATGACCTCACTGAAATGAAGACATTCCAGTTAAAACACTTAAGGAGTAGAGGTAGGGTAACATGGAATTCTAGAATGTTGCTTTCCAGTAGAGTAGCCCACAACCATATATGGCCATCTTAATTTGTATTAAAATTAAAATTAAATAAATTTTAAAATTCAGTTTTTCAGGCACAGTGGCCACACTTCCAATGCTGAAAAGTCACCTATAACTAGTGGTTACAAGAAATACACATTACCATATGTAAAATAGATAGCCAATGGGAATTAACTGTATGACCCAGGGAATTCAAACCAGGGCTCTGTAACAACTTAAAGGGGTGGGATGGGGAGGGAGGTGGGATGTGTGCTCAAGAGAGAGGAGCCATAGGCTGTATACCTATGGTTGATTCATCTTGATGTTTGGCAGAAACGAACACAAAACCGTAAAGCAATTATGCTTCAATTAAAAATAAATTTAATTTTAAAAAAGCAGATATGGAACATTTCCACCATTACAGAGAGTTCTACTGGACAGCATTTTAGAGGTGGGGTATTCCATGCAGAGGGGACAGCAAGTGCAAAAGTCCTGGGGTGGGTGGGACATTGCTTGATATGAGCTAGACTGTGGTGCTGCTCCTCTGCTCACACATTCCTGCTACGCCCTACTGCCTGTCTTATACTGGAGCTAAATGGAAGGTGTCATTTAGCACCTTACCCCAAGCCAACTTTCCAAAGCCCTTTGTTGATATTAAGTTTTAGACCTTTGGTCAATGCCATAGAATCTATGGGATCAAGTCCCAGACTCCCTGGTCTTGCATTGAGAAGAAACTCTGTGAAAGAGCATGAAGTCCAAGGATCTGGACCAGGAGTCAGAACATGTGTGTTCTGTTTTAGAGCAGAGTGGGTTCATGGTGTGATTCAAAGGGTGTTTTCAGGGGTGACATGGCACAAGCCTCCACTCATCAGTGAGAATTTTGGCCACAAGTGTCCTGAGGTGCCTTTATTAGCCCAGAACCAAAGGTCTAGTGGACTTTTAGTTGGTATTTCAGAAGGAAATCTGGAGTATTGGGCATGGCATTGTTTTTTTTTTTTTTTTTTTAGTCGCTAAGTTGTGTCTGACTCTTGCCACCCCATGGGCTGTAGCCTGCCAAGCTCCTTTGTCCATGGGATTCTCCAGGTAAGAATACTGGAGTGGGTTGCAATTTCCTTCTCCAGGAGATCTTCCTGACCCAGGAACTGAGCTTGGGTCTCCTGCATTGCAGGCAGATTCTTTACTGACTGAGATAGGAGGGAAACCCATGACATTGGGGCTCAAGGCAATGCCTAATTACCAGTGGCAGCAGAAGCATTTGACATTATATAAGCTGGCACACTCTTAGATGGTCTGTACAAGTGGAATTTCAGCCTTGTATAAATATATGTAATAGGTATTTGGAAACTGTAATGTCTGATAGAGTTTTTTGCAGGGCCTTTTCCAGTAAACACACACAGCTTTCGGTGAAAGGATGTAAGGCATCCTATATGTCATCAGCATCTATTCTGATATTTTCTCCTCCGCCTCCATCACACTTTCCCCATATCCGACCAAAAGGACACATTCAGGGCCCAATAGCTTCTATGTCCTACCACCCTGGTATTTTTCTCATGTTTTTTCTTTTTCTTACTTGAAGGACCTGCATCCTGTTTTCTGTCTGATTGAATCTTCTGCACTCAGCTCAAGGGCACAGCTCAAATTCCCTTCATTGACTTTTCTTTGCCCGTCTCAGGCCAGAAGCATTTCCCTTCTCCTGCAAGCTGCAGTGCTCATTATTCACATTCACTTGGCAATTATCAAGACTACAACACAATATCTTTGCCTTTTTATATGTGTATCTAATCCTGGGTCAAGTCCTAAGTTTGAGCAAACTCTGGGAGATAGTGAAGGACAGGGAAGCCTGGTGGGCTGCCATCCATGGGGTCAAGAGAGTCAGGCATGACTTAGCGACTGAACAACAAGACTTAAGATCAATGAAGGCAGAGGTCACAGGTCATTCTTTTTTCCTCGCATGGCCGTATTTCCATATACATTTGCCAAGCATCTGCCATATGAGGGCTGAGAGTACAGTGGCCAACCAGCAAAGGGCCCTGATCCCCTGTAATCCTTGGTTGTCAACTTTCTTTATTCTATTATGAGTAAGCTTATTCAGTTCTTGCAGGTCTTAGGCAAAGATAGGGACCCTGTGTCCTACTGATAAGGAGTAAAATCACTGGCTGCCCCTTGCTGAAGACAGATCAATCTGGGAGGTGAAGGTTCGAAGCCATCTGGATGTTAAGGCCCTGTTGGAAGAGTCTCGCTGCCAGGGCTCCATTATTGCTTCCTCCTGCAATGGTGTGAACAGTGATTCACACTACGGTAAGCCTTTACACTTTACCAAGCACATTCATCACATGCATGAGGCTTTCAGGGAAGGTCACGTTTCAACTTGTTTACAGAGAATCACCTCCAGGCCACCAGATTTGCATCTATTTTGCCCAGCACCTGTCATAAGGAACAAAAGTTTTAGACTGTAATGATGAATGTGCTAAAGAGAGGACTGTGGGGGCAATTCGAGTTCAGTGATATTTGACTTGTAGCAGAATATAGAGCCTATTTTGAAGTTCTTCAGTGAAAACCATTTCTGGGAATAGTGATTACAATTTGGGGTCAGGCTGTGAAGGGAAGGAAAAAAAAAAACCACACCCACCTTGTGCTCCCTGGCGTAGTGGTGTTTCCCACTTCCTATCTTACTTAGTCGAAGTTCGGGTCTAGCCTGGCATACAGGAAAAGGCGGTGAAGCAGGACTTTTTAGCCTAAAGGGAGTAGGTGGATGGGCCCAGTCCACCGGCAGAGGTGTGGCTCGACAAGGGCGGGGTGGGGCAGGGTCTGGATGGGGAGCCAGGAGGTGTGGGGCCAAGGGGCTGGGGGTGGCATGGTGGGGGCGGGGCCAGGAGCACCTGGGCGGGGCGGGGCATGGGAGAGGAGCGCTCCAATGAGCAGTGGTTGGCAGCACGCCCCCTGCGCCTAATCCACCATCACGCCCTCTTGCGGCATGGCGAAGGCATGGACGGCACGTGGAGGCTATCGTAGGGAAGAGCCGTGGGCGTCACAGCCGCAGTCAGGGCATGAGGACGGCCGTGGGCTCCGTCAAGATGTAGCCGCCGTGAGAGAGCCCGGCCTCGGCCACGCTGGCGGTTGTGGCAGCGGTGGATGGTGCCCTGTGCTGCAGTCCCAGAGCACGTGAGTGGGAGCATGAGCAGCTGCCTGTGCCTCCGAGGCTACACCTGTGGGACCTGCCGGCGCCGCTGCGGAGCAGACTCACCCTGGGGAGGAAGCGCGATGCCGCTTGGGCCAGGTGAGTGACCGGGTCCTGTGCGGCCTGAGTGGGCGTGGGAGGCTCACGTGGAGCCACGCCGACCCTCCAGACTGCCGAGGGGGGCATCTGAAAGTTGGGGAGGTGCCGGGGGTGGAGCCCCTGTGCCGGCTTAGGCAGAAGAGGGGCCTGGGAAGGCGGGGACGTGGGGTGCCCCCTGCAGAGCGATGGTTTCCCTCTCCCCTAGATGCACATGACTTAGCCTAAGCACGTCTGGATTTTCCCTGCTGGACCGTGAGCGTTGCCCAAAGAAGGGCTGTTTGCCTGTCCAGAGGGGAAGCTGCAGGTATCCAATGCCTAAAGGCCAGCCCTGTCTGAACAGTGAGCCCAGGGCCCCATGCACAGGACCTCAGTTTGCAGGAGGCAGGAAATGTGTGCACTGCTGGGAAGTGTGCACATGTGCAAAGTTGTCATTGCAACTTTGGGCACCAAGATTGGCACTGGCTTAGAACCCATACTAGGGACACTCTTCCAACAGGAAATCCTATGGAACACAGCAGCAGGAAGTCAATATTTAAGATTCTGGGGGTGTCGCCGAGAACTAAGCTTTGGCACCAACACTGGCTCTGGCTGCCACCACAGTCAAGGGACAGATGCCAGAGTTGGAAGGTCTGGGGCAATCTCTAGCTCCCGGGCTCCACAGTTGCCAGTTTTCAGTGATGCCCCCAGCATCTTAAATATAAACTTCCTGCTGGTGTGTTCCATAGGATTTCCTGGTGGAGGAGTGTCCCTCGATGAGCTCTAAGTACATCTAACAGCCCAAGGGGGTCAGACATGTGTTGCGGTGAAGAAAAGCGGGATGACATGGATCTCTCATAAGTCCTTCAGCAGGCCCTGCTGACTTGTTGGGTGTCTGTGATCACCAGGGCCTTGGGCACCTTTGGGGAGTTTTACTTAGCTTTTAAAAATCTTGCAAAATTAACGAGAAGATACCACCAGATGGATATTTTGGTCTGTAATTTAAAAAAGAAGTCCTAGTTGTCTGCCTTAAAAGATCTTGCTGGGGGACTTTTAGCTCTTGAAAGATAGGTTTGTGAAACTTGAGAGTTAGGGAGGAACACTGTGTTGGGTATGGCTTCCTTTGGGCAGGAAAGGGTCTGAACTGACACTGAGTCTTTGGCCTTTCTAGGCTGTGTTCCTCCTTTCCTGAGAATTCTTCCCACATAGAGATGAATGCACATGATCGACCTCAGAAGGATGTTTTGAGGATTAGCTGAGCAGTAATAGGACATCTTTAGGTCAAATGACCAGGGAAGTTTAGGAATTACCCGCAAATGATCTTAAGGTGTGGAGTACAGGCTTGCCTGCAAGAAAGCAAAGAAATGTGTCCCAAAAATCTGATGATAGATAAATAAACACAAAAATTTGAGTTAGAGACTTTCCAGGAGTCGAGGGGAAAGTTGGTCAAATTGTATTCCTGTTATGCTTGACAGTTATTTTTTCACTGCACAGAATACTGACACCATGAGGGCAGCCAGGCAGTCTGTGAGTAGGATTGCCCAGGGTTTCTGTGTAAATAGATCTGGAGTGTTCATCTGTGTAGAGCCTTGTGTTTCCCCATGTCTGTGGTGTACCTTGCTGAAATACGTATTATACCAAATTATACGTAATTATACCAAATATGGTTACTTGAAATAAGGTATACTTTATTAGCCCTTCTTTGGTTCTAATACAGCATTAGTTCTCCTTGTGACATCTAAACACATTTCACAAGTGCATGGTCAGTTTTTCTTTTTAATTTTTTTTCTCTCTATGAAGACCTTTATTTTTTTTAATATAAATTTATTTATTTTAATTGGAGGCTAATTACTTTAGAATATTGTAGTGGTTTTGCCATACAATGACATGGATCCACTATGGGTGTACATGTCTTCCCCATCCTGAATCCCCCTCCCACTGCCCTCCCCATCCCATCCCTCTAGGTCATCCCAGTGCACCAGCCCCAAGCACCCTGTCTCATGCATCGAACCTGGACTGGCAATCCAGTTCACATATGATAATAAACATGTTTCAATGCCATTCTCCCAAGTCATCCCAGCCTCGCCCTCTCCCACAGAGTCCAAAAGACTGTTTAATACATCTGTGTCTCTTTTGCTGTCTCACATATAGGGTTATCATTACCATCTTTCTAGATTCCATATATATGTATTAGTATACTGTATTGCTGTTTTTTCCCCCCTCTGGCTTACGTCACTGTGTATAATAGGCTCCAGTTTCATCCATCTCATTAGAACTGATTCATATGTATTTTTAATGGCTGAGTAATACTCCATTGTGTATATGTACCGCAGCTTTCTTATCCATTTGCCTGCTGATGGGCATCTAGGTTGCTTCCATGTTCTAGCTATTGTAAACAGTGCTGCAATGAACATTGGGGTAAACATGTCTCTTTCAATTCTGCTTTCCTCAGTGTGTATGCCCAGCAGTGGGATTGCTGGGTCATATGGCAGTTCTATTTCCAGTTTTTTAAGGAATCTCCACACTGTTCTCCATAGTGGCTGTACTGGTGTGCATTCCCACCAACAGTGTAAGAGGGTTCCCTTTTCTCTACACCCACTCCAGCATTTATTGTTTATAGACTTTTGGATAGCAGCCATTCTGACTGGCGTGTAATGGTACCTCATTGTGGTTTTGATTTGCATTTCTCTGATAATGAGTGATGTTGAGCATCTTTTCATGTGTTTCTTAGCCATCTGTATGTCTTCTTTGTAGAAATGTCTGTTTACTTCTATGGTCCAGTTTTTGGTTGGGTAGTTTAATTTCTGGAATTGAGCAGCAGGAATTGCTTGTATATTTTTGAGATTGATTTTTTGTCAGTTGCTTTGTTTGCTATTATTTTCTCCCATTCTGAAGGCTGTCTTTTCACCTTGCTTACAGTTACCTTTGTTGTTCCAAAGCTTTTAAGTTTAATTAGGTCCCATTTGTTTATTTTTGCTTTTATTTCCAATATTCTGGGAGGTGGGTCATAGAGGATCCTGCTGTGGATCATGTCAGAGAGTGTTTTGCCTGTTTTCCTCTAAGAGTTTTATAATTTCTGGTCTTACATATAGATCTTTAATCCTTTCTGAGTTTATTTTTGTGTATGGTGTTAGAAACTGTTCTAGTTTCATTCTTTTACAAGTGGTTGACCAGTTTTTCCAGCACCACTTGTTAAAGAGATTGCCTTTTCTCCCTTGTATATTCTTGCCTCCTTTGTAGAAGATAAGGTGTCCATAGGTGCATGGACTTATCTCTGGGCTTTCTATTTTGTTCCATTGATCTATATTTCTGTCTTTGTGCCAGTACCATACTGTCTTGATGACTGTAGCTTTGTAGTAGAGCCTGAATTCAGGCAAGTTTATTCCTCCAGTTCCATTCTTCTTTCTCAAGATTGCTTTGGCTATTTGAGGTTTGTTTTTTTGTTTTTTTTGTATTTCCATATACATTGTGAAATTATTTATTCTAGTTCTCTGAAAAATACTGCTGGTAGCTTGATAGGGATTGCATTGAATCGATAGATTGCTTTGGATAGTATACTCATTTTTACTATATTGATTCTTCCAATCCATAGTATTCTTCCAACATGGTATATTTCTCCATCTATTTCTGTCCTCTTTGATTTCTTTCATCAGTGGTTTATAGATTTCTATATATAGGTCTTTTGTTTCTTTAGGTAGATATATTCCTAAGTATTTTATTCTTTTCGTTGCAATGGTGAATGGAATTGTTTCCTTAATTTCTCTTTTTGTTTTCTCATTGTTAGTGTATAGGAATGCAAGGGATTTCTGTGTGTTAATTTTGTATCCTTCAACTTTATTATACTCACTGATTAGCTCTAGTACTTTTCTGGTGGAGTCTTTAGGGTTTTCTATGTAGAGGATCATGTCATCTGCAAACAGTGAGACTTTTACTTCTTCTTTTCCCTTCTGGATTCCTTTTATTTCTTTTTCTGCTCTGATTGCTGTGGCCAAAACTTCCGAAACTATGTTGAATAGTAGTGGTGAGAGTGGGCACCCTTGTCTTGTTCCTGACTTTAGGGGAAGTGCTTTCAGTTTTTTACCATTGAGGATATTATTTGTTGTGGGTTTGTCATATACAACTTTAATTATCTTGAGATATGTTCCTTCTATTCCTGCTTTCTGGAGGGTTTTTGTCATAAGTGGATGTTGAATTTTGTCAAAGGCTTTTTTCTGCATCTATTGAGATAATCATATGGTTTTTATCTTTCAACTTGTTAATGTGGTGTATTACATTGATTGATTTACAGATGTTAAAGAATCCTTGCATTCCTGGGATAAAGCCCACTTGGTCATGATGTATGATCTTTTTAACATGTTGTTGGATTCTGTTTGCTAGAATTTTGTGAAGGATTTTTGCATCTATGTTCATCAGTGATATTGGCCTGTAGTTTTCTTTTCTTGTGGCATCTTTGTCAGGTTTTCCTATTATTGTGATGGTGGCCTCATACAAGGTGTTTGGAAGTTTACCTTCCTCTGCAATTTTCTGGAAGAGGTTGAATGGGACAGATGTTAGTTCTTCTCTATATTTTTGGTAGAATTCAGCTGTGAAGCCATCTGGTCCTGGGCTTTTGTTTCCTGGAAGATTTCTGATTACTGTTTCAGTTTCCATACTTTTGATGGGCCTGTTAAGATTTTCTATTTCCTGGTTCAGTTTTGGAAAATTGTACTTTTCTAAGAATTTGTCCATTTCTTCCAAATTGTCCATTTTATTGGCATATAATTGCTGATATTGGTCTCTTATGATCCTTTGTATTTCTGTGTTGTCCATTGTGATTTCTCAATTTTAATTTCCAATTTTGTCAATTTGATTTTTTTCCCTTTGTTTCTTGATTCTGGCTAATGGTTTGTCAATTTTATTTATCTTCTCAAAAAACCAGCTTGTAGCTTTTTTTATTTTTGCTATGGTCTCTTTTATTTCTTTTGCATTTTTTTCTGCTCTATTTTTAAATATTTCTTTCCTTCTACTAACCCTGGGATTCTTCATTTCTTCCTTTTCTAGTTGCTTTAGGTGTAGAGTTACTTTTTTCTTGTTTCTTGAGGTAAGCCTGTATTGATAGGAACCTTCCCCTT